TCGTTCGAAAGCAGGTATGCTTTTCTTATATAAGTGTGTATAAATTTCCCAATGATTTGCAAAAATCTCCACATACAGAACAGACATAAAACCAAAATTTATACTATGCACTTATGTTAGCTTTCAATTTTAACGTTTTCGCAGTTTCCTATGTTTGTCTTCATCTTAAGAAGGGATCACTCGATTTGTACATTTCAGCAGGTACAGAGTGGTGTTGTTCGGAAATTCTTTTATTGGGCTGTGTTTCCGCACTAAATAAATAGACGACTCGCTTAGATTTAATTAATATTCTTTATTGACTTGAAAACACAACCGCCGCGCACTCGCTCCAATACAATACTGAAAACAGGTTACTCTCTCACGCTTGAACATCCTCCGGCCTTGAGACTCGGTGTGACTCGAGGCTCAATTGGTTCTACAGGTAAAACGCATAGCTTTTGTACTGGCCGATTAATGGAGCCATTGCCAGTCCAAAGTGTGACATTGCGGACTAGACCATCACTCCCTGGATGCAATGCGGTGATTCGTCCCATTTTCCATAGGGTCGGTGGCGTAGCTTCGTTTTTTATGACTACTAAGTCGCCTATCTTGAGATTCCGTCTGCTCTCTCGCCACTTGGGTCGCTGTTGAAGTTCGTGCAGGTAGCTATTGCTCCACAGTTTCCAAAAACGCTGAGTGATTCGTTGCCGAGATTGCCAGTAGTCGAGGCGATTCTCCGGCCATTCCACTGGTATTTGCTCCCCTAGCACAGGTACTAAACTTTCACCAATTAGCAGATGACCGGGTGTAAGGGGCGATAAGTCTTGTGGGTCAGCGCTCAGGGCGCACAATGGACGCGAGTTGAGGACCGCCCCAATTTCTGCTAGCACAGTTTGTACGGCTTCGATCGTTAACAAGTGAGCTCCCATGACTCGTCGGAGATGGTGCTTGGTAGCTTTCACCGCGGCTTCCCAAAGCCCTCCTTGGTGCGGTGCAGATAGTGTAATAAAATGCCATTCGGTTTGACGTGCTGATAATTGGTCGAAGAGGTCTGAGGCTTGCCAAGTTTGCAGCATTCTACTTAACTCACGTTCTGCGCCAACAAAATTGGTTCCGTTATCACTCCATAGATGCAGACAGTGCCCATAGCGCGACGTAAAGCGAATAAAGGCCATAACGAAGGCCTTGGTAGATAAATCTGATACAAATTCCAAATGCACCGCCTTTGATACCATACACACGAACACCGCGATATATCCTTTAATAACGACGTTTCCCCGGCGTCGATCTGGACGGACTTGTATGGGGCCTGCGTAATCGACTCCCGTATGTACAAATGGACGGGCTGGACGCACCCGACACGCCGGAAGATTTCCCATCATCTGTTCGGTCGTCTTGGCTCGCAGCCTTTCACAGGTTATACACAATTTGACAATTGATCTCGCTAGCGACCGCACGCCGAGGATCCAGTAGTTTTGTCTTAGTGCGGCTATAAGCTGCTGAGCCCCGCAGTGCAGCAATTTGACATGTGTTGCGCGTGCCATTAAAAGGGCCAATCTCCCCTTGCCTGGTAATATGATTGGATTTTGTTGAACGTCCGGTATATCTGCCGCTTGCAGTCGGCCGCTCATCCGTAGTACGCCATCTTGCAAAAACGGAGCCAAAATTGCAATTGAATTGGACAACTTCGAGGTCTCTACCGGTTGCTGGTGCTGAGCCCAGCGCTCGAGCTTTCGGATATCATCCCCAAAGAAGTCGCTTTGCTCCTGTCGGATCCAAAATGTAAGTGAGTGTTCGAGTTCCTTGACGCTTAAGTGAAGGTTCTGCCTTTCGGCCGATGGTGATCGGCAGTTCCGTGTAAATCTAAATACCCACGCAGTTACCCTTATCAATCGATTCATCGAAGAGTAACGCTCTAATAATGGCTTTTGTTCGATATATATAGCGTTGACCTTGGCCACCATTTGACCACTGGTCCGATCTGTGCGGTTTCTTACGCGTCGACATTCATTCTTAACTTCCGTTTCGACCTGCTCGGATATCCTTTCTGGTGGGTTTGGCCACATAGCCTCGGGTTGTCGAAGGAAATCAGGCCCATGCCACCAAAGTTCGGACTCAATCAACTCCCTCATTGTCATTCCCCTAGAAATCAGGTCTGCTGGGTTTATATCCGTGGGTACATACCTCCAATCGCAGTCAGCTGTGTTCGTATTGATCTGACGTACGCGATTTGCTACAAATTGCTTTAGGCTACTTTCGCCCCGTTTCAACCAGCAGAGGACTACCATCGAATCGGACCAACCCGTGATCGAGCCGATCATTATATTATGTTGAGTTTTGCAAATGTTCACTACCCGTTGTATAAGCTCACTAAGCAGCACTGCAGCACGCAGTTCGAGACGTGGAATGGTTTCTCCTCGCAGAGGCGCCACCTTAGATTTAGATAGTAATAGATTCGATTTCACTTCAGCCCCAGAATGTATTGTCACGTATACTGCTTCACCTAATGCAAGCGTGGACGCGTCCGAAAAACCGTGTAACGTCATAGTGAGTCGCCGGGAGTAACCTATCCACCGTGGTATGCGCAGATTGTTAAAAAGTGGAATTTGAGAAAAATGTTCTGCCAGGCCGTTTTCAATGGATCTGATAGTATCATATCCCAATCTTGCTTCTCCTTCCAGATCTTTTGAATAAGTATCTTTGCATTGACTATAAACGGTGCTGCTAGGCCATCAGGATCATAAATTCGTGCGGTTATGCTCAAGACTGAACGCTTAGTCCAGCTCGTAGCATGAATATCTGGAAGGGGTTGAACTGCGAAGGCAAACTCATCTGTTGCGGGCATCCATTTGAGACCAAGAACCGATGCTTCCGTATGGGTATTCAGCCAAGCAGCTGATTCAGCAGAATGCGCACCAATGGAACTATTAATATATTCCGAATTTGATTGCCACTTAGTGAGTTCGAAACCCCCGGCGGCTAGCAGCTGCTGCATTTTATGGCAGAGTAGAAGCAAATCCTCTTCCGTGTCTTCACCCACCAAGCAATCGTCCATGTAAAAGTTGTTTAATACCGCTCTGGCTCCTCGAGGCCACCTAGCTGAATTATCTCTGGCACACTGTTGCATCGCCCGAACGGCACAAAATGGCGCAGATGCCATACCGAATGTGACCCCCGTCAGCCAATATTCCACTATTTCTCCTACATCATTCCTCCAAAAAATGCGCTGTAGGTCCCAATGCTTCCTTGCTATCTTTACCTGGGGGAACATTTGCTTGATGTCCGCCGTTACAGCATACGTGTTCAAACGGAATCCCCAAAGGAGATCAATCAGGTCTTGCTGCAGTTTCGGTCCGATCATTTGCACATCATTCAACGATATGCCAGTGTCCGTCAAACAAGAGGCATCAAAAACAACCCTAAACTTTTTCGTTATAGCATGATGGGGAATATAATAGGCCTTGTTTTCCGGCGGATTCGTCGCTGGGCGGAGCCAGTCCTTCGCTACATATTCATTTATAAATGCCTGATACTTCTGCTTTAGTTCAGCGTCCCGTCTAAACCGTTGCTCTAATTTTATGAATCGTTGCAGTGCCATTGCCCGATTAGAGCCAATACTATCCCAATGAGGCCGCAAAGGAATCTGCAACACATAACGACCGGCATTCGAGTCAAACGCGAGCGTTTTCAAGAAGTGATCCTCACACGCTTGCTGCTCCGCTGTCCATGTGGACTCATCGCCAGGCATACCCTCGAATTCGAAAAACCCTCGTAACAATTTATCAAGCTGAGAATCCTCCTCGCCTTGGCCTACGTTTTTGGTGAGGTGGGCAGCAACAACACTGTTATTAGTGGAGATTTCACCAAAAAGTAGCCAACCTAAACGGGTTTGTTGTGCCACAAACCCCGCAGACAGGCGCCGCATGTTATCTTGCATGAGTCGAGCCCATACTCCTACCCCTAAAAGCAATTGGACCTGTGCTGGTTTTTCAAACTTCGGATCCGCTAAATATGTTAATATATCACTTGGTACTTCCTGCCTTTGCAAACGTTTTTGGGGTTGTAACATTTCTCCTAATACCGAAGGCACTACCAGACAGTAAATCAGTAACCGTAGATCCTCGTCATAAAGAGACATAAAATGACCGGTAACCATTTTTTCGCAGATGTAAGATCTTGACTTGACCGCCGTTGATACTCCTACTCTAGTTCGGCGCGTACAGATCCTATTATCTTGCACGACACCCTTACTAATCAAATTCACCTGAGCTCCTGTATCGCATATTGCACGTAGCGTAACTACTGCCCCACTACTGGTCAGAAAGCGCACCTGTGCTGTTGCTAATATGTTATCGTGTAAATTGCTGCCTCCACCCGATGGTATGGTGGATCCTATATGCTCTTCTAGCTGCGACGAACCTGCACTGCTGAAAACCCCGAGGCCGGTTTTCTCATAATCCATTGGCTGCTATTGCTCTGCTACCGTTTCCCCCTCTCCGGCTGTTGCTAACGCGGATGTGCGTGATGGCACCTCCTTGGAAGTTCCAGATAGCTTGGGGCATATAATGCTGTTGTGAGGTGCCCGTGCGCATCTTGGACAACGGCTTTGTAAACAGTTCCGGGCAGTATGACCTCTTCTCAAGCAGTTCTGACATAGTCCTAGCTCAAAAATTCGTTTAACTTTCTCCTCCCTATGCATACTTCCAATTCCTGGGCACCGATGAAAAGCATGATCGCCCGAGCAGTGGAAGCAAGGGTGGGTGCTGGATCGTGACGACACGCTTGGGAATGCACGCTGATTCGTTGAAGCCTTGTTTACTTGCCTCTCGCTGTGATTAGATGAAGGTAGTGTCGCCTGACTCAATAGCCCGCTGCTCCGACGCTCAAGCCATACATAAAAGTCGGTCTGTAAATTGGGTATACGATCGGTTGGCCTAACCATTTCCCACTGGCTGCGGGATGTGCTATCTAAGCGGGACTCAAGGAAATTTAATATTAGTAAGTCACGCTGCTCTTCAGCCCCCAACTGCCTTGAAATCATACGCAAGCTATTGCGCGTCACATCAAGCATATTGCGCATTAATGCATGGGTAGCCTTTGGCCAAATGGGCAGCCCATAAATTGCCGAGCAGTGTGCAGCGTGACACAAATATTCATTATCGAACGCTAGGCATAATGTCTTCCAGGCATCGGAAAAGCTCTCCTCTCGCTGAGGCCAATAGCCCATGGCCCTGGCCGCACTATCTTTGACGCAGCTTTGCAGTCGCCGGAGGCGCTGCAAGTTTGTAAGGTGCGGATTTTGAATAACCTCCGCCGTGAAAATGTCCCTAAACTGAATCCACTCTCGATGGGCTCCACCAAATACCGGGAGTCTATCTGCTAAAGGCAGTTCGGCAAATTGCAACTGTAGTGAGCGACTATTTGTATGCTGGTATGCCGCCGTAGATACAGCTGGTTGCAATGACTTGATTCTATTGCAGAATTGCGCTCGAACTCCTACGTAAACGTCCTCAACCTGCTGTTGCCGTGTCATATCATCCGCCCGTTGCAGCTCACTTCGCGACCTCTGTTGCAACTCCCGACATTTTTCCTCAAATTTGCCCCAGGCTGTGGTAAGAATATCAAGACGAGCTTTGATCACCTCCACATCCCTAACTTCCGAGGTCGCCGAAGCTAACCAGTCAGATTGACGCTGAATTTGCGCCACCGTAAAATCAATATCTGCTTGAATACTACTGGCGCTTGAAATCCCTTGAGATACCGCTCTATCTATAGTGGATATGTTCCGCGAAGAACCCCCCACGATCACCTCCTGCTGATCATCTTGCGATGTGACCCTTTGTTCGCTACCTGGAAATACCAAGAGAAATGTTTTAAAAGGGCCTTGGGAAATCTTGAACTATTCTAGCCTAATTCCAACGCCGACGTTTAATCGCCCCTTACAGTATAGTAAACTACGTTTGCTAAATTTCCAAATCACATCAATGTCTGACGCGACGTCATTGCATATGCACCCGTGCATGCGTTTCGAAACTACCCAACTACCCTTAAAACCCATTTACATATATACCCCTTTCCCCTGAATTTGCATCCAGCTCATACCAATAAGTCGCAGACTAATCCCAAACTCAATTCAGTTTATTAGCAACCAAAACCACTGTAGTCACATCAAGTCGCTGTTTCGCCAGAAATACCATCAAGTCGCTGACTAATTCCCAAACTCCATTCAGTTTATTGCCAATCAATAAACCAATGCATTCGCATCAAATCGCTGATTCGCTAGAAATACCATCAAGTCGCAGACTAATTCCCGAACTCATAATTCAATTTAATTTATTTGGCAGATAATACACAAATGCATTCTCATAAAATCGCTGATTCGCTTGAAACATGGTGATAACCACACCCAAGGTGGCATATGTATAAATTGACATACCTATAATCGCTGGAAAATAAGCGGCTGGGTTTTCTTCCCCCAATGCAAATACTTCAATAATTCGACACTTGCAATAATAATAATTTGTTTAACGCCGGCGCTCCGAATTACATTAACCACTCAAATATGTATTGCCACAAGTCACAGCTGCCCAAGTCGAAATTCTGCAGTAGAAGTGGGTGAACAAGACACCTAAAATCTCGATAAATGCATAATCTCATGCAAATTTTTTTTTTAAATATTGAACTTGGGCCATTTTGCAAAAACACGCCTATCGACCTGTGCAGCTACGACCCACGGCCATAGATATACACGCACCATTTTGAGGATTAGCTACATTTCCCACGTCACGCTTCTTTTTTGCTGTTGCTGACTGCGCTGCTCCTACCCTCTTGGGTGCACTTGCTGCTGGCTTGTTTTTCCCTTCCTTATTTAATTTCGGCATTTTCCTATTCCTGAAATCAAATGCTGTTTATTATTTCTATAACGATTAATTAGGTAAAATGAAGCGAACCGAACTAGAAATTTCAAAGTACAATCCGAAATCCAATAGAGTAATATGTGCTCATCAAAATCAAAGAATGTTCAAGAACTTTCTGTTTGCAGAATACACAGCAATATGCGCGCACCGTCTTGAAATACTAGTTAGTTTGCCAGCGAGTGCAAAAGAAAATAAATCCCCAAATAATAATACTCTCTTGCAAAATGCTGAATAATTCGCTTACAGACAGAAGACATACATTCCCACTTCTACAACTCTATTCTGTACTTTTTAAAATAAGCCAAGCACGAACAGCAAAATCAACGAAAGACCAATTCCCCAGAATACACCAAAGGAATTCGCTTCTACTTCGCCGTGTTGAGCGTCACATAAAATGCAAAGGCAAAAACAACACCAAACAAATACTAACTTTACCGGCATGTCGCAGTTTTGAGTGCATTGGCCACCTACCAAACACTCAGCAAAAACAAACACAACACAATTCGCAGCAATACGCACTATGCAAAAGCAAAACACCACTCAGGTCGCAGCTATGAGCGTATTGCAGACACTCAACTAAACACAAGCACAACTCAGGTCGCAGCTATGAGCGCAAACACTCAACTAAAAACAAAATCACAACTCAGGTCGCAGCTATGAGCGTAAACACGCAACTAAAACAAAAGCAGAACTCAGGTCGCAGCTATGAGCGTGAACACGCAACTCAAAACAAAAGCAGAACTCAGATCGCAGCCATGAGCGTAAACACGCAACTAAAACAAATCAGATCTCAGGTCGCAGCTATGAGCGTATTGCAGACACTCAACTAAAACAAAACACATCTTAGGTCGCAGCTATGAGTGTATCGCAGTCACTCAACTAAAACAAATCACACCTCAGATCGCAGCTATGAGTGCATTGCAGACACTCCACTAAACAAAACACAACTCAATGTCCCCTGTAGCACCTGTAGTGTAAAAAGCAAATCAAAAACGCTGTCGGCGTCGCAGAAAAGAGCGCCGCAATGAGCCAAACCCCAAAGCCAAACAGCATTCGCTAAAGTCGCCGTCACGCAAGAATAGAAACCGCAGCGCAGAATGCGCAGATGAGCCAGACGCAGCGGCCAACACAAACAAAATTCACAAATGCTCCGACTTAAATTTTGAAAGCTATTCACTATTCGCTGCCAACGCCGCGCTGCTGAGCGCACAGCACCACCGAGTAATATTTGCTGACAACCGAAACGTGCATTGCGTGTGTGTATAACACAAAGCGCTACTCGCCGAATTTCACAACACAATTTGCAATTTTGTTTTATTATTTTATTTTGCCAAATTCACCGCATATAGCTCGATTAATGGACTGTAAACACTTCACCATTCGGCTCGATGGACCAAATTATGTTTCCGCACTAAATAAATAGACGACTCGCTTAGATTTAATTAATATTCTTTATTGACTTGAAAACACAACCGCCGCGCACTCGCTCCAATACAATACTGAAAACAGGTTACTCTCTCACGCTTGAACAAGCTGAACTTAAATTTCTAAACACCACTCTGTGTCTGCTAAAAGGACAAATCCGTACAAATGTACACATCGTGTGATCTTCGATTAACAGCCGCCTTTCAGCGTTTTCAGTACTGCTAGTGATAGCAGGCGTAATTTGCAGGCGCAACTAAGGACTATAGTTTTAGGCACTGGTTTGATAGATTCTATTGTAAATTCTTTGGTAAGATAACATACCGGAAATTAGTTGGAATGAATCAGCTGTTAACCTTGTGATATTTCTATACGAATTTCTGCAGAGCACCTACCGGGTGTGTGGTTTGTACTTGAACTGAATGCTTAAATTAAATAAGACACCGATTTGTTTCGGTGTTGTTTTGTTCGGAACTTTCCGCCATTTTTTCCATCATACAATTTTTTCGCTACCTGAACTCAACGTGATTTGCTCAGATGATCGAAAAGAGTTACTCAGCTTATATTAAATGTACTATGCCCATAAATGGAGAGTCAGCCTTTAATAAAAATAGTATGTCCTGATTATATAAAACAAAAGTAAAAGGTTTAAAATAAAATAATGTAAAAAAAAAATTTTTTAAAACAAGCTTTTATTTAACATGTATAATCAAAAGAATAAAATGAATAAAATAAAATAAGCTAAGGTTTCGTTAAAGTTACAGAAAGCCAAATAGTGAAAGGAGGTTCTTAAACTCTAATGAAAATAACTAACAATTTGTACAAATTTATTCCGTTTTTAAAAAAGCTTGTCGACGAATTCAGCGTACATGCATAACTGGTTATGTATACATATGTATGTATTCGCGCGGCAAACTTTTTTAAAAACGAAGTAAATCAGTACAAATTGTTGGTACTATTCATTAGAGTTTGAGATTTTTATTCTTTTGATTGTACATGCTAAATAAAAGCTTGTTTAAAAATTTTTTTTTTACATTTTATTGTAATATATTTTTTTCAATACGAAAAATACTTTAGAGAAAACCTAATTTTAATTTTAACTATTCTTTGAAATCCCATAACTCGAAAAGTAACCATCATATAAAGACAAAAAATATTCACACAATTTCATATTTCACACAGGTACAATTACCCAAAATAAGAAGGAATTCTAAAGCATCACCCTTTTTTTACAGGACCGCTTGACGTGAAATACTCCAGAAACATGTTTTTTAAACTCGTAAAATATACGAATACTAGCCGGCCACGGATGCGCGAGGCTTCGCCACGCGCTAAATGTATGCATATGATGTACATTTATGTATTTGGAGAAAGAAATCATATGTCATCATGTACTTCGTTTACTATATACATAAAAAGTCTTGTCCAAATCCGTTCAGTAGCGTGGTTAAAATATCTCGCCTTTCCTTTAAACTATGTATCGAACATAGTAATTTCAAATATGTGGCAACCCTACTCAAAAAACTTAAAGTTAAACGAACGGTGAAGATCTTATAGTTTTTAAACAGGTGGCAACCCTACTCAGAAAAATTATACATTATTACACATCCAGAGGCTAAGTCTTTTCATTTGACAGTGACGGTGCAGAACTGACGCCTACGCTTATTAGAATTGAATATAGTAATTTCCTTAAGAGTTGGCAACCCTGTTAAAATTCTAAGTTAAAAAGGTCACTCTCCTATTGATACAGAATATATTAGAGAATATCTCATCAAAATCCGTTCAGAAGTTTTCGAGATT